TCAGCTCCCAGACCCTGGCTTCTTAGGCACCTCCTCTTGTTTTCTTCACCCCATCATCTAGCCAGTTTCAGAACTTCCTAGATCTATGACACTGAGAACATTACTTAACTTCTTTGTGACTCAAACAACTTTCTGTGCTTTACCACTTAAGTGATATAAAGACATTGTGAATTGCATTGGTAGAGGGAATTCCATGCTGATGACATTACAGACCCTCTATATGTTTGTATGGTAGTTATTATAGAGTCAACGTATTTTGTTGGTGAAAACTGGAGGAAAATTAAGAAGAAGACAGATTTTCTTTTTCTCTTAATAATGGTGAGTTGTTTTTGAAGAGCTCTTAAGTTGGAAATGTTCCATTTTGACACATCAAAATACTGTTTGACTTTTTGTTAAATTAATCTCAGAATACAGGAAAATCTGGTTTTGTAAGTATACAATAATGTATTGTTAAAGGAAAGGAAAGTTGGAATATATATTAGTTGAAAGATTCTGTTCTCAGTATTATTTTTGTACATTTATTCTCTGCGACTGAAGTGGAAACTGAACTTCCCACTTGAGTGAATGATGAATAAGCTAATAAACATCCACTTTGTGTACTAGATATTTATAGCCTGAAAGGAAGACAAATATTTAATCTGAAAGATGCATCATTTCAGAAGTGATGCACTGTGTAAGGTAATATCATATTGTTATATCACTTCAGTTCATCCTGTCAAAACAGAATGAAAAATGATATGATATTATGGGAAAGAACACAATGCAAGAAAAGTGATAAGGGGCACAGAGAATGTGGAAGATTATATGCTATTAAACATAAACCTAATAATCATAATGGCAAGCCATAAATTTGTAGTATCAAAAGAATGCTGAGCATGCTTGTCAATATCCAGCTTTCATATTTCTCAGCATTCAAGCCCTTAAGGTATTTCATTCAAACTTTGCAAAATTCACATTAGGAGGCTTATTCCTTTCTTCCTTCTTTCAAGTAAAAAAAAAACCCAACAAAATAAAACATACGCATACAAAAATGATGCACATGTAAAATGGAGATAGTAATGGCAATCACGATATCAATAATAGATGTCTACATTTATACTGCACACATAATATATAGAAAGGATTTGATATTTGGTTCATCAATCAAGTGGGTTTAATCTTGATAATGGGGTTTGTCATTTTAGCATATCCAGAATTATAGGTTGTGATAATTTTTTTTTCCTCTTTGCAAAGTAACAGTCAGCAACATTATAATTTTTTTTTCAACACAACTGTCTTGGAGATGGCACCAGAATAAAGTGACAAATTGGTTCATGATTCATTTGAACAAAACAAGCATTTATGGAGTGCCAACTGTGTGCCAACCTCTGCTAGTTTCTGGAATATACAAACTGCCAGTCCCTTCTTTCTAAGAGCTTAGATTCTACTGGGAGAAATCAACGTGTATACAGACGAGTAAATCAAAATACATACGGAGCAAATGCAAAATAATGATTTTGGAGGAGCAATAAAAATTAGAAAGAAGTTAGACAAAAAGAAAGATCTCATAGGAGGTGGCACTTAGCTGTCCTTTGAAGAAAGCTGAGACTCTACGAGTCTGGGGTGAAAAGGAAGAGTTCCTTGAGGTATTCAAGTACCCCAAAGAGAACAGTCTATGAAAAAGCACAAAGGTAAGATATGAGAATGTCCTACATGGGGAACAGAAAGTTATGTTCTTGGGCTTGGTTAGACCCAAAAGTGTATGAGGGATCATCATGTGTAATCAACCTGGAAATGTAGACTAGATACAAATTGGAAGGAGATTTAAATACCAAGGAGAGTATTTACTCCCTTCTGATAGTAATAGGAAGCCACTGAAACTTCTTCAGAAAAGGACTGGCTTGATTAGAGCCATACTTTAGGAATATCAATTTGGAGTCTGTGTAAGCAGATAGATCAGTGAGACACTCCATGAAGAAGTTATGGAAACCAATTGAATTATGGAAATAATCCAGAAAAGAGATGATGAAACCTTGTATTAATGCTGTGTGAGGTATATGAAGTTGAGAAAAGGAACAAATGGAAGAAATTCTTTGGAGGTGGAATGGACAGAACGTAGTTACTGATTGGATGGAGGGAGGGGAATAAAGGAAAGTAAAATAACTCTGAGTTTTCAGATATGGATGATTGAAAGGATAAAGATGCCCTCAACAGAAGTAGAAAAGAGTAGGGAAAAGGGTGGGTTGTGAGTGGAAGGTAATCATTTCTTTTTTGGACATGTTGCATGTGAAAAGTTTGTGGATGTCAAGAAAGAGATTTCTTGGAGGTAGCTAGCAAACTAAGTTTAAAGTCCAAGACAAAGCTGTGGTAGGGCTATATATATATATATATATATTTTTTTATTTATATACAAGTCATCTTCACAGATATGGTAATTGAAAGCATAGAGAGAAGGATCTGGGCCAGGCAAATTACCTGAGCAAATTTAACCTCTGAATATCTGAAGCATTACCTGTGCAAGACCTACAAAGCTTAGTATAAAGCATTATGTAACTAATGGGATCTTTCCCAAATGTGCTCTTTCTAAAACCACATCCCTATGCCTTATTTCTCAAACTTATTATTTTTTTCCTTTTGATACCTGACTGGTGGAATCACTGTTGAATCTACTTATTCTCCCTTGTAACTAGAACCCCATGCAAAACCCTAAGTCCAAGATTCAGTGCTCTCTTTGGAGTAGAAACCCCATATGACACCAGCCACCTACGTCACAATGACAAGGTCAGTATCCATATGATCCACAAGTTTGTAAACCTAATAAATTCATTGCTTTCCCTGTTCCCAGCAATTTAGGTTGTCCGTTCTTCCACACCCCTTCAGGCTCTTTGCTGCCTATCAGAAAAAAATTTTTTTTTCTTTAGGAACTATCCCAAACCTGAATGGTCAGCTTAGGAAGTAATAGCTTCACCATCACTTGAGACCTTTCATTGGAGCTCAGATGACCATTTTTGGAGGGGTTGTCCAAGGGGATTTTTATTGCACTTGATGTAGACGGGATGGAGGAGATGACCTCTGAGTTTTCTTCTATTTCTGAGATTCTGTGATTATCTCAAATAGCCTGCTGGCAGCATAATGATTAACAGAGAGTGACTGGGCTTTCTTCCCTGAAGTACCATAGCCTGAGTGTGATTAAGGATTAGTGTTTCAGCATTACTCTATTTATTTTTCTTATGACTCTGACAAGTTATAATGACACACTAGAAACTTAGAAATGTTTCCAGTTTATTGGGGCTGATGACAGAGAGCAAGTTCAATTAAAAATAAACATTGTGCCCTTAATCTCCTCCCTACAATGTCATAAACTAGAAAATAGCATGAACTTATAATCCATGAGGCCCTATGAGCTATAACAGCACTTTATCATACTTATTAAGAATTTCTGCATGGCATCTCTCTATCTGTACATAATTTCACAAAATTATGTTATCTACATGTGTGCATATATATGTGGGGATGTATACACGTGTGTGTATGTATGTGTGTGTATATATACATATATATATACATATGTATATGCGTATATGTGTGTATGTGTGTGTGTGAATTGTACCAAATGAATAACATTATCTGTAGAGAAATTAATGACAGATTCACCATGACTTCACTGGGGGTGGGGGTGGGAATTCTAACTCATACATGACTTTGTAGATGTCTGAGAGTTACCTGAGGCTCAGAGAAATTAAATGACTTGCTCATGATCTCACAAATGTCAGGTGCTAGATTTGAAATTAGGGTTTCTTAACCTAAGGCCAGTACTTTATACACTAGGTCATGAAACTTCATAGAATCATAGATGTTTTCTAAATTGTGAATATGATGTTAAATTTAATTTTAATATAGAACTTATATGAAAACAACCACATACATTTTTTCTATATAGGCAGCGGTGGTCCCAATAGGTCAAAATTTAAACATCTTATGCCTGAGGACCTGCTTTCAAGACATGACTGTCATTTTAGTAACCTGTGTAACTTTGGGCATATCTCTTAACCTCTTTAGGGCTCAGTTTCCTTATATGTAAAATGGGGGAGCTGTGGTATATGACCTTCTAGATATCTTTGAGCATTAAATCTCTGATTTATGATTCTTCAAGGAAGGGAGTATGTTTAAAATTGACCAAACTTTGGTCAAATGGTATAATATTTTGCATTTTCTTGAACATTTTTCCCTTTTTATTTCTCTAACCCCTTTATTTTTTAAAGTGAGATTTATTTTTGTTTCCCATCATTCTTTGGACTTTTTTGTCAGCAGTCCTCTGAAGGTTTGATAAGAACAGTTTAAAAGTGTGACAGCTTAACTTAACAAATACTAGCTAAGACCTTTGAAATGTTCTTCAAACTCTCTTGTTCTGCTTTTAAAACCATTGAAGTATCTAAGCAATGAAGTATAAGTCTGTAAAGATCTCCAAACATCAAATAAATCCATGATCTTTCTGTTTATTTGGAAGTATTGTACACATTTTAGGAGTTAATTTGCCTTTTAAATTATGCTTTGCTTGGGCTAATAGAGTGAATCTCCTTATTTACATAATCACCTGGAGTCCCCCACAAATTATAGTTCTTCCCCAAGCCCTAATTTTTATATTTCCTACAATTTTCACTCAAGTCACAGAAATCCTTCATAAACATCCTTGCTATCAACTTAACGCTAGAAACCAGCTTTTTTTTTTCTATACAAGTTACAGATTAATGCTCAGTAGCTTATTTAGAGATATGAGGGCCACCAATGGTCTGCTAACATATTCTCAATCCCTTGAGACATGCCTGCTGGGTAAGTTGCAACCTTAACATCAGTAAGAGAGATGTAATAAGATGTCCCTGGAGAAGAATATGATGATTGCTGAGGATATGAAAAGTCAATAATGAGCACTTAGTGTTTGTGATCAACTGTATTATTATTGCTGATATTACAGTAGGAACAGAAATACTATAGTGAATTAATTAATTTATTAATTTACTTACCCAATTGCACAATGTTTGTAGCATTTCCTTCCAGGCCATAGATAAATGTAAAGCAGAATTTTTACTGTGTTCAGAATAATCTGCACTCCCAGAGTACACACAGTTTTGGAAGCAAAAGAAGACAATTCTTGAATGCCTTCACTGATAAAGGGGAATCATCTTTAAAAATATAAATGACAAAAAGAAAATAATTCAACCAATGAGATACATTATTGATAATCATCAGAAAGATAATGAAATTTCATGGCCACTCTTTTGAATCCTTAAAATCTAATCAAATGGATGATATATATTTAAAATGACAAGGTAAATTCAGCAGTAAGTTATAGTTATTCTGAAGGAGGGGGGAGGCTTGACAGTAGAAAATAAGCAATATAAAAAAATGCTTTCAGTATTGTTTTGCTAAGGGACAGAAAAGAAAACACTCCCCAGTGCACTCCATGTATAAAACTGAGGGATTTTCCAATAGGAGATGCGTTCTTGGCAGAGTAATCATCCCTAGCAGTTGTTACAATGAGATGAATCCTACTTATGCTAGGATTTCAGCCTTAATTCAGTTATTTCCAAACATTTAATTGGGAGATACAAGAGGTATTTTGTCCTCACTATATCAATAGTGTTCATGGAAGTCCTATCATGTTTCTGATGTGATCATTATGTAAAAAGGGGCCTCACCCATTTTCTCATTAGTAAGAATGGTCAATACCTTCAAAGAAACATCTTAATGTTAGCAATTGGAATGCCTCCAAAATTAGAAGGATCATCAATGTTAGCTGTTATCCTTGTCAATTATGCACTTGGACCAATAGAATGTGAAGCATAAGGCAAAGTCAAGAATAACTTCTGTAGGTTTGCCAGGTTGAATTTTAGGCACTTAAGGAAAGCTAAATTAAAAAAAAATGTATTTCCTAAGTAGGTGAGGCTGTTAGAGGGCTGTACTTCAGACCTCAGTCAGTCAAAGGAAAGTATCCTACAGGTAAGGCTGTAGTTGCTCTGACTCTGACACACTGAGTTATAGTGTATATTCATACTATGTGTGTAGCACAAGGATCTAGAGATGAAAGCAGATATTCTGTCCTCAAGGAGCTTACAAGGTAGTGGGAGAATGAGACAAATACACAAAGAGCTATTAAAGTTATTAAATGGTTAACTGAATAGTCAATATAAAATGAAGTGAACTAGAAGATTCCAGAAAGGAGATTTCACTTGGCAAGGAAATTTTAATTCAATTCTATTCAATTCAGGAATATTTATTAAATATTACTATTAAGTGAAAACTTACACCAGTTTCCTAATTAATCTTCCTGCCTCTAATTTTTAATCACTTCAAGTCATCCTCAACACAGCTTCTAAATAATTAAAACATAATTCTAATCAACTCAATCCTATGATCAAAACATTTTAGTGGTTCCATATTGTCTCTTTGGGGAAAAAAAAGTCTCTTTTCTGTACTTAAAGTCTATCTTTTCAAAATGATTCCATATCACAACTCCTTGCCAAACTAACTGCTTTGCTATTAGCATCTCCTGTTACCTCCAAGCTTTTTCACAGATTTTCCCTTAGGCCTGAAATGTCCTCTCTCCTCATCTTTAGCCCTTAGAATGTCTACATTCCTTTAAGGCTCAGCTCAAGCATCACCTACTACATGAAGCCTTTTCTGATTCCCTCAGTTATTAGTGTTCTCCCACAAAGATAAATAAATAAAAAAATAAAATAAAATGACAAGAAAGAAAAAAGATTTTAAAAATTAATTTGTATACAAGTGGCCAGTCAATCAGTCAGTAACCATTTAATAATTCCTACTATGATCCAGGGATGGTGGTAAGTACTAGGGACAAAAAGAGAAGCCGTCACAGAGATCACAGTCTAATGGGGGTACAATGTGAAAAACAATATTTCACATACACATATATGCATATATGAAATATACATACATATGTACATTATACACATGTGTATATGTGGTATTTTTAATATATGGGTGTATTGTGTATGTGTAGTATATGTGTATAAATATATGTATATTTATATAATAAATAGAGAATAATCAACAAAGGGAAGATATTAATAATTACTAGTGGTGTTATTTGAACCCAGATCCATTGAGTCCTCTTCCACTTGGAGCCATATCACAGAGATAATATTAGTATTGAGGAAAAAAGCATAAGGGGAAAGGCTTTGCCCTCATGGAGAATTATGGTATGGTTGAAAATACTTTGAAACTATACAATCTTATAGGAAAAGTAATAATAACATCTAGAATTCATATAGTGATTTAGTATTTGCAAAGAGATTTGCATATGTAATCTCGTTTTATCCTCACAACATTCCTCTGTGACGGGTGCTACAATGTCCATTTCATAGATGAGAAAGCTGAGGCACAGAGAGATTAAGTGGTTTCCCCAGAGTCACCCAGATAGGAAGCATCTGAGAGGTGGTTTGCAATTGGGTCTTTCAGACTTCAAATTCATTGCTCTATCCACCAAACCTTACCTAGTTGTCTCATTAAAGTGAATTTAGTCCGTCTCACCCATACCATTGTGAAGCATATTCCCTGAGGATGTCAAAAACAGGGAAGATCTACACAAAGGTGAAGGCATGTATATGTACATGTATACATATGTATCTACATACACTATTTTTGGTAGCAACAATGACACAGAATAAAAGTGACCTTCTACTGGGGAATGCTTTGAAAGATTGTGGCATATGACTTATTACAATAATATTGTATAATAAATAATGATGAATAAGAACAATTCAGAGGAACTAGGGAAGACATTTATGAACTGATGCAGAACAAAATAAGAAGAAATGGGAAATTGCTTACTCACCACAGTAACATAAAGCAAAACAACATTGAAAGACTGCAGAACTCAACTCAACAATAATCAGTTATGACTTGAGGGGATTGATAGTGAAACATTCCTACCTCATGCCTTTTTTCAGAGAAGTGATGAATTATAGGTATAGAAGCATTTTTTTCAGACCACGTTGATATGTCTTACTCCACTCAAGTATAGACTCTTAGGAGAGAGGGTCCTGTTGGTTCTTCTTTCATTCTGTCCCCCAGGATTTCACTATTCTCTTTCTATTGTCTCCTTTTGGTATGCAAGGTAAGAATCCTATCCTCAGTTTATTGGAAAAAAAAACATTTTGTAAACTTTTGGACAAGGAAGTGGCTATGCTGAACTTTGAGGATCACTGTAGTCTTGGTCTAGTGAGTGATTATGATGAAGATATATTTTATATCAAAATGTGGAGAGGAGAGAAAATGTGAATAACTAAAGGGATTGCAAGTTTCAAAATTACTGTTTATTTTTTATAATAATCCTGCAAGGAACTATGATTAGATCAATTTATATTCTCCGTCCACTGACATGGATTGCAAACTTTTATGGGCATGTTCAGGAGCTACTGTGGTCCAAATATTCAACTAACCTGCAGTTTTCTTTGCTTGGCTGGTTGCAAGATGACAGATTCAGAGTCTACTAAGGAGTCCATAATCACAGCTTTTTCTATATTGTTTGGATCTACTAGTGCTAATACTTCACTGACACAGCCTTCAAGAACTCAAGGTAACTCCCAGTCACAATGGAACTTTGATATATTATTAGTGGAGGCTTTTTAAAAACATATTTAAAATAAAGGAAGATACCATCACTATTTGTAAAGATGTCTTGAAAAGAGAGTAATTGGGAGAGAGTTCAAAGATGCATTCTTATTATATGAGTCTCCTGTGTGTAACAGTTCAAGAACCACGTTTTTAGTGAGAGAATTATCTAAATATGCTTGGCCTGGGCAAATAACATTAACAATTATTTGAGGAATGAAGTCCAAAGTCCCCAAACACAAAGAAATGAACTGACTAATTTTTACAACTGAGCTACCAACCTTCTTTTCTCATAATTTAAAGCATGGAAAATAATTCTTTTGGATGAAACAAATGAGGAACTCTATTCTCTCCTCAAATCAGACTGGGGTAAAATAGCTGTCTTTATTTTTAGAGTTCTCCAGATGTTTACTTACAGAGTAGATCCCAGAGAAGAATGTTGGACATGGATTAAAACCACTCTAAGAAATTTGAAGACATTGCCTTAGCTATATCTTCTCTTCCCATCTTGCCAACTCAGTGATGTATGAGACGACAATGGGAAATTAGTGAATAAACTAGAAGTTACAAACTCTTTTTTGGGCTCTAAGTTTCTATTCATGCATATGTTCTATAGCAGAGGTTCTTAATCTAGGGTCCATTAATCTATGAGCTACTTAAGAGCAAGAGCTGACTTTGCCTCTTTTTCGGTCTCTACTACTCAGTACAATGCCCAGAACATTTAAATAGTCCAGTAATAAATTTTTGTTAACTGGCTGATTCCAGGGGGTTTGTGATTAGTTGATCTATCTTCAATATCCTTGATAACTAATTAACATGAGGAAGTTTTACAAATGAATAATTTCCTGAAAACATGTAGTAAGCACCAAAGTATAAAAAACATCTCTCTTCACTAGAGTATACTCTCCCCATCTCAAGGTTCTGTACATTTTACTCCTCATCTCCATCTCCTAGATATCTTTGCTTTTTCAAGTCCCAGCTATTATCTTTCTACTATAAGTCTTTCCTGATCCTCCTTAATGCTAGTTTCTTTTGTCTGTTATCTTGAATTTATCTTGTATTTTGTCTGTATGTAATTGTTAGATTTTTGTCTCCCCTAATAGACTGCCAGCTCCTTGACAGCAGGGACAAATGGAAAAGTTACTTTCTTCCTTTCTTGCTTTCTTTTGTCTAAGTGGGATCCATTGTTGGACTGGGTCAAACAGGTTGTTCCTAAGCGCAGGCTCTTCATTGGGCTTAGTGGCTACATCTCTCTGCTAACTCATCTAAGTACTCTCATTGTAGGAGCTATGGGGAATCTTTTGACATTTCAAAGCCCATAAAGTTATTCTGTCTCTGATATTCACTCACTTAACATCAGGAAAGAATAAACATAGCAGAGAAAGAGGAAAATAAAGTCCAAGTGTTTGAAAACACATGAAGAAGCTAAAAGCATGACTCCTTTCTCACTCTAACATTTATGAGAAGGTAGAGATCTTTTTTCTATGCCTTCTGTATGAGCACTCAATTATGACCCTACAGAAAATTAAAAAGCTTTCCATTACCA